GTGCCGTTGTTTCAACCCAGCATGCAAACTGAAACAGGGTCATGTGTTTCAGCTCGATTGGGCGGTTGGGATAATGATTATCTAGCAATGTGGGATTGAACAGCTCCGCCACGTTGCGCACTGTCCGGTTCCGCACGTTTCTCATCATTCGAGGACGAAGATCTGGCGTGTTTGTGTTGATGAATCTGTGTGAAGAGTCAAAGAAGAACTGTGGAACGGCAAGTAAATGAGCGGCTGCTTCGATCGTTGATACTCGTCTTTTATTTATCATGTCGCGCATGGTCCGTTGTGCAACTTTTCGATGCACTTCTTGCTTGAGATGGTCGAAAAACATGATGGTCTCGCTTCCGTGGACTTCGTCTCCGTCCAATTTGGACACATATTTCGTGACATACTCCAAAATAGAGTATGAAACTGCAGGGTCCAAATACTGGACATCCATATTGGTCTCGACGGCCAAGAGAATGGGGACACAGTAGTTATTTACCCAGACATCAGCGGCGGTTCTCCGATATACGACCCTCTTCACTTCTCCAATTTTTGTCCTCTCCCTCTTTGTGGTAGCTTCAATTGGTTTGGGAAAATGAAATCGGCACGTTGTCTGGTCCTCCTTCAAGCATGTAGCATTATGTTCTGGGTCGTGCAGTTGATATTTGTTGATGAGGAACTGAACCTGAGAATCCGTATGAGACGCTGATGTTGAGATTTTTCCGTCCAAAAACCGGTCTAATTCTTCGTCGGAGGCTGTTTTCTTTGGGGCGTCCTTGATCCACAACAATGCATGCGTGTGCATGACCCCAGAGTACTGGTATTCGTGCCTATAGAAGAAGTGGGCCACTTCTCCTAAAGGGCCAGATTGTTGCAACAAGATTTCGTTGAACAACGTCCGCGTAAAGTCTCCATACCACCTAAAGATAAACAATTTTTAATGCACACGCCGTTTAGCCGCCCCACCTCGTTTATTTGTGAACTTACTGCACATATGGAGCTGGGCAATGTTTGATGTAATTCCTCAATGTTCTTGGTGTTATTTTTTCCTTTTCTTCCTTCATGACGTCCTGATACAACTTGAGCAACGTCCTCGATTCCTCGATAGGACTGGCAAATGTTAGGAAAAACGTTGGAGTCCCAAACGTTTGAACATGTGCCATTACTCGTGCCCTCACCTCTGTCCAGTAACACAAATCTCCTTTTAAATTAGCCATCAAGTGGCTCAGAAGAGGTGCACTTCTTTTTGGGTCGTCGAGGAGTTCTCTAAACTCTGCCACTGTCTTTGGCCGTTTGCGCATTCGCATTGTAACTTGCGAACAGTTCCGCATCTGCTGCTGTTGAGTTTGTCCATAAGCAAACATGCCCCACGATTTGTGCGTTGCAAACCGAAGATCCTTGTGCTCCAGGCAAATCTTAAAATATTCAGCGAACGACAGCGGAACCAGTCGATTTGCTTTGTCTTGTCCAGCGTATCCTCCAACCCCTGTGGGATGCAGATCCGGATAACAGAATAAGTCAATGTTCTGTTTTTGATAGAGTTGTGGCTCATAAACAGATTTCCCCAATTCCATCACCTACAATATATTATATTAGTAAGACGAAGCTTAACTTTAATCTTACGGTTTTTGTGTTCTCCATTGGGTCAATCGCTCTGTCGGCTAAGAAAACTTCACTACTCTCCTCATCCCTGTCTTCTTCGGGCTCTGAATATCAAATTAATATTTCTAAATTGTCACTTCCTGCTTACCGTCGTCTTCAACAATGGGGGCGTCTGCTAAAGAAAATTCGAGGTCCAGTTCTACCCCACCGTATACGTTTTGATTAATCTCCTTTAGCTTTTTCAGAGCGCATATAATGTGCTGCACACTGACTTCGACTGTTCTACGGGATTCCTCACATCGCAGGAACACCGGCAACGCCTGCGGGAGTGTTTGGTTCTTCTGTTGGATTTGCATTAGTTCCTCTATTCGACATTGAAGGGGCACTGTTCCAAACATAATAACACCAGACGTAAGGCTGCTTGGATTCACGTCGTTGGCATCCCGGACATATATGTGATGCTTCACAGGTTGAATCCTTTGGATAAACAACCTTTCAAAATTTGATAACCGTTTTATTTCTTCCGGAATCTCGTCCAGCTCTAATCCGTTCATTACTGCACAGGCCGGAAGTTCGCGATTTGAAATTTGGGTGCGGCACTTTTTGCAAATTCGTACTTCTTTGTTTAAATCTTGAGATGAGAGATTTAAATGGTGGAATGCACACCACTGGTCGCTCGAAAAGTGCAGCAATGGGCACACTAACCACAGCTTGTGCCGAGGGACCCTTCGTGCACACGTATCACAGCTTTCGTTTCGTAACGTTTGTTCCATAAAGGTGTGCAATATCAGTGCGTCACGGCGATAGGGTGGCACCGAAGCCATCGCAGACGCTGTGGGCCGGCTTTTCGAAGAAAGGGTTGGAAGCTTGCGTCTGCCTGTTGGTGTCGTCCTTTCCATTTGTTCCCGAGTAATCATTAGTTGTTTCATGTCCTCACTCCACGCGTCCGTGGCCAGCAAGTGTTTGTGGAGCTTCTGTAAAGCCAATTTTCTGCTCGTTTGTCTCGTTGGTTTGGTGAAGGCCTCGCTCCCGACCTCGGATGGTAAAAGGTCGGGGTCTTCGACCAGCCCAACATCAATGTCGTCGTCTCCTACACTTTCATCGTCATTACTTTCCCATTCCTCTTCTTTTACTTCGGCTTCAGCCATGGTCGCCCCTTTGTGCTCTTTATCCCACTCTGCGATCGATGTTCTGATCCGTTCTTCAGCCGTTTGTGAAGCGTGTCTTTTCAACCTTCTCTTTGAAAGCCATCCTTGGCTTCTGCTGTCGCCTGTTGGAATGCCATTGTCATTTGTTGTTGTTGCCCATTCTCGCAACTCATAAAACAGTAGATCAAATGCCTCGCCGGCAAGAAATGTTTGATGATGCATGCTTACATATTTCACTTCACACATACGGATCCAAAATTCACTTAATTGCAATATGTCAATATCGGTAGCATTCGGATCGGGGAGTGAGTCGTACTCCATGCGACGAAATGATAATGGAGCCTCGTCCGGTAATTTGAAGACGCTGCGCAATGTTCTGCCCTGAAAATGTCACTCCTTTTAGCACATTTGTTAATCTCACTCCTCCCCAGCCTCTGATGTCCGCTCCCATTTTTTGTTCCGTCCGTAACCCCTCACCTCGTTGTATGGAAATAGTTCCTCTTTGCTCTATGCATAAAATACCTACGTTCTGTTCCGTGAGTGCACAATTTGTAGGAGCGATTATATCAATTGACTTTTCCGATGCTTTTACCAAAATCCATCCATCCATATAGACGAAGGAGTAATAGAACTTCTACAACATCTATGTTATACGTTTCAAAACTCACCGGACATAGCAACTCGTTTTCCAAAACCAACTTGTTCCAGTTTGGAATTGGCTTGTTTATCCTCGTTCCTTCCTGCGACAGGCATACCGGGCTTATGACGCCATGTATTTGAGGCCTGCATTTTAAGCAGAGGGCTGTCACGTGGGAAACATTGACCAATGTGTTTCTCTGTTGGGTTGTAGACATCATGAGCTTCTTACATTCGGTAATGCTGGACGGAAAAAACGTAAAAATGTCGGGGTTTCTGAAACGGGCACCTGGTTTAAATCGTGAATCTTCATCTTTTTCATTTCAGACCCCTGAACTCACCGTTCGTGAAGGTTCGAGGCGCTGCACCTTGGTGAGAGGTAAATTTTTGCTGAGATTTCGGATTCGTACGTCACAACACGCACGTCGCGAATTTCAGCGGTTGTTTGTGACCGAAATGCGCATAAAACTAGTTGGGGGATTGCACTTGACCTACACCCAATCCAATGCTCCTCTTCGATTTGGACTGGCTGCGGGTACAAAGCGTTGCATAAGTACGGATACAACGTCGACGACGATATGAGCAGAAGAATCCGGGCCTCCGCCTCTTCAAGCAGTTGGAGAAGATAATCCTTTTTCCCCGCTGCTTCGTTAATTGCACATGCAATTTTCCCATAGCACTCAGTGTTAATCCTTGATACGTCAAAAACGTGTGATAGATTCTGCGAAGGGCTAGCTCGGAGGTATGCTACTATCCTCTCTGTTTCACTAAAAAAATACAGGGTGCGGCAATTTTCCAGTCGGATTTCAATTGGCTATAACTTTTTTAGTTTTTATCCGCACGTTAAAATTCTTTTTTTCCTTGAATCCTCAGACACCCCCATCTTGCTTAATACCAAATATGTTATAAGTTTCATGCCTGTTCATGCCATGGAGAATACCGTTTCCACAAAAAATCAGCTATCTCCGCCCAACCCTAGCGAGTATATCGCCAAAGTTATGGCCAACTAAAATCCGGCCGAAAAATTGCCGCCCCCCTGTATTTTACGTTGGTTACCCATTTTAAAAATTTACTCACCTAACTTGGAGTTCCGGTGTAATGCCCGAGGGATCATCAACATGCAACACATGGGTTGTAAAGGTCGGACTTAATTTCACTTCCACTCTATGTCCTTCTGCTTCTTCGACTTCTTCATAAAACTGCAAATGCTTTGTTAACGGGCATCGAAGTATCATTGCTATCCGCGCATGTCTCAAGCGGCCATTCACAATTGCTGCTGAAGCCACAATTCCGGGTGTCAAAGAACAGTCGTAAACGACGTAGGAGTCGCGAGATGCAAACAACCGTTTGTAGAGCAAGGCACGAAACACTAAGTCATTTTCCGCACTGGCACCATCTACGTCCTCCTGGGCTATGCTAATGCGCAACACCCCGGCCGAAAACATTTCCGTAATTTGATGTGTTATTCGCCTAAACATAGGTGTTATCACAGTTCACACTTACCTCTCTATATCCGAGGAAGAAGCTTGACTACTGTTTGGCGGGTCACAGAACTCCAACTGTCTGAAATTTTTCATTGGTTATTCTCTTCCTTCCACTTGTTTGATTATAAAGTGTCTTAAACTTACATTTGATTGTGTAACATCAGTGGGTCCACTTCATGATTAAGTACAAAAATTGCCGCATCCGTATCGTAAAGGCACACCACAGCACATTTGGAATGCTTCAACTCAAAAACCTTTGGTGCATACCCATCTGCATTAAATGTAAGTCCAATAACATTTGAATTGACGTCGCTTTCCGTGTTCGTGGATATGACGCATTTTGCTTCAAAGTAACTAGACGTGGGATCCGACCTTTGCATTAATACAACATACGCCACGATGCGAGGCTTCGTGGCGCTTATCACTTGTAGGACTTCCGGCAGAGACATCGCATCATTCATGCTTGAAACCCAGTTGTGCTTTTTATCCTTCACCGGATGGACATAAAAATAGGGTCGCCCCGTTGCTTTATGTTTCCCGATTTTCCCGTATATCTTCTTTAACCGGATCCTTGTGTTCCTGAAAGGAGACAGAAATAAGACCTCGCAGTGGTTACGTGTAAACAAACAACGGCATCTACTGTTATCCCACTTACTGTTCGTATTCTTCGACAGACGGTCGGGTGCCCATCGCCTTTTCTAAACATGAGCATTCAAACGTTACCCCTCCATATGTGGTGCTCAGTTGAGGATAGAACTTTGCGGCAAACTCATAGACAATTTCTGCTTTTGAGAGCAGCGTCAAGGTTTCATACTTGTTCGCTTGAAGACTGATCGTTTCCGCCTTCTCATTCTCCTTGGTTACACAATACGGGGCCTCCAACAAGCAAAAATGACATTTCGGATTTACCATTGCAATCAATACATCCGTGTCTTCTCCACTTGTACCTGTATGTGGACCTTGGTATCCGTCCTTCACATTGAATATTCGTCTTCCTCCCTTTCCTTTGTCCGGTTCTACACTTAGAATAAGCGTGTTCCTTGACCGTGGCCGTGCATGAATAACGCACAAAAAATCGTATAGCGACCGACATTGGTGTATTAAGATCGTTTCGTCGTGGCTCATCTGCTCCCACTCATCGATTGGTTTCAAATACACAACCGCGCTCATTATTGTTTCACTATCTGAAAGCGTACATGAGCAGATGGAACAGAAACAAACTCTCGTGTTGTCACATAAGGAACGTATTACGCGCACTGCTACTTCAGACATTCTATCAACTTTTGGAACGTCTAAGCAGTTCCCTTTCGATGCCACCTATATTATGCCTTTTTAGAACCCTTCCAAACGATTGGTTTTTTACCCCTAGCACTTAAGACCCCCTTATAATCTTCAGAAAAAAATAACACTATCTTGCAAGTAAGCCCCTCCGAGTACTCCTATACCAACTATGTTTCAACCCATTTCGAACCAATATCTTTGAACATTCCTACTTCACCAACTCTGCTACTGTTCAGAAAACGTGAACAAAAATGATATAAACCGTATTGTAGCATAATAAACTGTAATAAAATCAAATCCCATAAAACGCATAAGCCAACATAACCCATCCAACCCACTTTCCTCGTTCTCGTCTTCAGAAAACACCTCCCCGCACCACTCATACTGCATCCTCTGATCCCCTTGTCTGCATTCTGCTTTCGACGCTTATCTTACAGCGATACAGAAAAAATCTAGTCCCCTTTTTTCTGTTTATTTCGCTTTTGTTCTGCGCGTTACCTAATAAACGCGTGTTATTCCTTCTGCCAATTCGCAGAATTACGTTGCAGAAAAAAACTGCTGTGTGCGCTACCCCATCGCGTTTTGTGCCTGTGTGCTCATCCAGCTTCCTGCCACATACATTACAGAAACTCGATTTTACAACACCCAATGACATACATTTGGTCCATTGGTTGTACTCACCCGTCTTACTCGCATAATAGGAAATTTTTACCACCATTCAAACTTACAAGGGAAGTACTTCAAGTGCGACGCTTCCATTTTCTTTAAATTTTGCACACACGTCGGGGATGGACTAAATAACAATTCCTGAAAGTGTTAGCTCGCGTTTTGCGGGCGCCGCCGAGATATCGAACGATTTTTGCCGCTGAGAGAGCACGCTACCCGTGGAGAGCGGTCAGATAGAAACGCGCTTTTCGTCCATAACTTTGGCAGTTTCGAGCGGAAAACTTTGATTTCTTGTAGAAACATTATTCTTTACGGTTGAAATAGGCATGAAACTTTTCAAGCCGAAATTCGGCAAAAAGTCCCAAATTTTGGCCGACTTTTAATCTAAAAATGTCGGTTGTTTCTGCAAAGCGCGAGCTAGAATTCTCTCATCTATCTTAGAAAAACAAATATTCTAAATTTGTGCCAAGTTTCATGAAAATCTGAGCGTTGCACTTGGAGTACTTCCCCTGTTAGTCCAACGTACACGCCGTACAACCCAATAATTCGTATACTCACCGGCTTAGTGTGGTACTAAAATAATATTCTTTTACATGTCGACCCTCCGTCGGACATTTGCATCTCTGATAATATTCTCTGCCCGCTGCTGACCCCGCACGTCAAGAAAACATAAAAGAAAAACGGGTGCCCAATGAAAAAGCCTAGAATATTGATACCAATAGAAAGCTCGAGAGTTGCTTAAGCTAATAGAACCAAAATATACCCATAATCATAGTATTTTGACCGTCTTCCAAGGCGAAGAAAACAACGTCTAAATAAAATTTTGTATCGACGATACCGAGTCAGAGAGAACTGGAAGGGGGTATAGGCTCCACGTCAAAAAAATCCTCAACCTATTCTTCGAGTATCTACATCGGTCTCGTCCCGCTTGATGGGACAGTTTTTTTGATATTCGGCCTTGAAATTTGCACTATTTTTAGCCTAGCCCAACCCGTGTTCAAAAAATGCGTCACGATAACACCCATTCAGAATGTGCCAGTGGTATAAAAAACCGTTGTATACGACTACTAGTACTCTCTAGAGTTCCCATAAAAAAAAGGTTAAACATTGTTGTTATGTGCGATTTGGATGACACATTTTATGAATTTTTTTCCGCTGTGAGACCCTTTCCAATGCCCGGACTTTCTTCACGTGGCCCGCTTCCCATTCAATTCGTAATCCGATGTATGGTCGCTCACAATAAGCAGTACTCTTGCATAACCCATCAGAATATAACATAATTCTCGTGCTCTCCAACCCTCCGCTGTTTCTTCAGAGATCGCCATCATATCGACAACGACTTTCCGTGGTTTTCTTCAACCCCTTGTACCCCTTTGTTGTCTTTCTATTCAAGCGTTTATTTCATAAGCGATACAATATTTGTTATGGGCAATGATATCCTGTTACTTTTTTTTTTTTTTTTTTTTTTTTTTTTTTTAATTGGGGCTCATATCCTACGTTTGCGCTCGGGATGTCCAAATAGTTGATTTATGTCGTTCCTCTCCGGCAGTTCCTCCCTTCTTCGTAGGTTGATGAGTTTGCAACATAGGGCTGTCATGCATCTGTACCCGTAGAGCACTACAACCACAATGAGGACACATGCCGCTATCAATTTTCCCTGAAAATGAAATAATTATTTCCCCCTTTTACTATCTCGAAATTTTTGCCTGTCGTGCCTTAAAAATCTGTCTGTTTAATCATTTAACTTACAATGTCCGTTTTTATCAGTTCCAGAATACTGTCGACTATTCCTGCCAGCGTTGCGAGAGTCCCCGGAGGTGTGGGATCCGGTGGAAAATCTACCCCCTCCTGTTCCGTTACATGTTTATAATGGATGATAGAATGTTCTCTTATCGCACTGCCGGTCATTTTTAAGCCGCATGCATGAAGCTCGTGTCCTCGCGCAAGATGAATAAAGAACGTACGTCTTGTAGGCAACGCAAATACTTGTCCGTCTACCTCGAGGTGGATGCAGTGTGGCGGCAGCGCTACGTGAAACGCTGAGTCGGCGTATTCGTGGAACTTCCCTTTTTCGTTCAATTGAATTGTCCTATTCGGACACTCTGCGTAACTTGGGGATCCATAGTAACATTTTGGGGCATATCCTTCAGTACAAATGGTGCAATTAAGGCCTTGTTTGCACTCTATCATTGTGTGGTTCGGTTCATGCCTGACAGACGCCGGATATAGCCTATATCTCCACAAGTTTCCTTTTGCTGTTCCTTGGTCGTATATGCGGCACAGAGTGTGGTTCTTCTCACCAATAGGCGCGTACCAAATTTTTGCGTCCATCGTTAGATTCCCAAGATCTGCAAAGTTACATTTTTTATCCTTTTAACACACTTTCTTCATTTCTGTCACATTTCGGAACCTACTGGAGTTTTGACAATGATTGCAAAACTCCGTAATTTTTTATATTGCACGCTTCCTTACCGTCCTCGCGCAGTTTTCCTTTGTGCAGCAGCTTGCATTCGCTGTACGCGACACGTGCCGTTGGATAGCGCTGTTGCAATTCTTGCTGAATATGATGGTTGATGGGTCCACATGAGTGCAGTAGTTGATAAATTGCATGAAACGTCACTGGTAATTCGGCGTTTATGAAGAACATGTTCTCCGTGCAATGCTTTTGTTCAAGCAGTAGCTTTTGTGCTTTCACTGCTTCCAGGTACGCAAAGATTGCGGCCGTCAGTGTCGTTATGCTGGCTGCTGTTGCTATGCCAAATCCAATCACGAGGAGGGCCCCTCTTTTTTGGCGCTCTTGTGGTTGAATCTAAATCAAATCAGTATAATAAATTAATACTAGAAAATATTTTTTCTAACGAATGTTTTTTCGATGAAATCGTTCATTCTTTTGCATATAAAGTGTTCTGTAATAAACATTTTTATTTCTATGCACACCCCCTACACCCACAAACACGAACGAACTTACAACAGCATCCGCAAATTCGTCAACGTTTCTCATTGTGGGCCTGTAATCAGCTGGGTATTGTCCGCTCTGAAAATGATAAGAAAAAATTCGACATATCTGTATCAAAGCCCATGTTTCTTATTATTGAGGCTCGAGGGCCGTCGAACTTCCTATTCTACAGCTTTCAAATTATACAGTGCTTTGGGAACTATTATATAAACGCTTTGCAGCCTTCGGAAGAGATGTGTAAACCACGGTAATGTTTAATATGTCACTATCAACCCCTGCAGACTGCACCACCATATGTACAAAACGTTTGTTGAGGCCATTTCGGTTCCTACCTACACTATCCGGCTGCCGCGCTATAGATGCGAATACATACCAGTACCATTCCGATGACTGAGACAATCATCTTTCTTTGATATTGCTTCGCTCCATCCACGAAGCAGTTGTCGCTGTCTGGCCTTGGTAACGGTTTAATAAAATTCTCTAAATTGATGGTCACAGTTTGACGTTCCGTCAGCAAGTCGTCCCATATATACATTTTTTTGTCGTCCTCGCATATCTCCATAAAGTCTTGTTCGGCATAGTGTACTGTGGCGATGACTAATCCACAAAGCATCACCCCGAGTGCAAGAACTTTGTTCATTTCGATATCTGGAAACAGAGAAATAAACGTAACGCGCTGGAAAATCGGAAAAAAAATTATTTTCTATCCGCATAAGAACCCCAATCCCGGCATAAAACGATTCATCTCGGCCCACGACCTATTTCTATTCCCTGCCTCCAATATTTCAACCCAACTTCAACGCTTAGTACTTCTGATCTCCACTGCAGAGCCCCACTTTGTCGCCCCCATAAAGTAACCCCCTCCGTAACAATTCTACTTAAAAACTAAACAGCGAAACCCGCATAATTCCCCACATTGCCACCATCCAATCCGCCAACTGCCACCTTCAAACCCCCTTATCAATACAGCCGCCGAAAATCACACATTGTGATAACTGATTTTCACTGCACATTCTAGAAACCGCGTGCATTGGCGACCCATCAGCTAACAACTGCGAATATGCGGCATTAAACCGCCCCATCAAGAAGGCAGAAATTTTTTGAGCAGAACCTTGAAGAAACGCGGCGTTCGAACCAACGCTGAAATCCTCCGCAGAAACCCCGCGAAACAGAAGACACCCGGTTGCGTTTGAAGGTTTGCAGACAAAAAATCCGGTTGTCACATTCCACGGAACCCGGAGTTATCCACGATGTGTCAACTCGATGGAATTTATGGACAGAGAGAGCTGTCCCCTGTGTCAACTGTTTCCCCAGTTGTTTCCTGTTCGAGAATGTGGAGAGATCCCGAAGCGGAGAGGCTGAATCACGACACCGTACCTTTCTCTGAGGTTTTATCCCATCTTGATCAGTTGTTGTTGTGTTCGTGTGTCGAGTGTGGTAGTGGTGTAGGTGAAGTGTAGTTGTGAAGTCCTCCGGATTTTTGAATTTCGCATTTATGTCGACATACAACTGTTTATGAACGGTAAGTCTACCCTTCCGACGCATCAGCACTTGAATAACATTGCATACAAAAACTCCGGTCGCGATTTCAGATGGGGTGGTTTTGGGAAACTCTCGGTTTTTTGAAGATGCTGCAATGCCTCCTGATTTTTGAATTTCGCATTTATGTCGACATACAACTGTTTATGAACGGTAAATCTACCCTTCCGACGCATCAGCACTTGAATAACATTGCAGACAAAAAATCCGGTCGCGATTTAAGATGGGGTGGTTTGGGGAAACTCTCGGTTTTTGAAGATGCTGCAATGTCTCCGGATTTTCGAATTTCATATTTATCTCGATATACAACTGTTTATGAACGGTAAATCTACCCTTCCCACGCATCACCACTTCAATAACATTGCAGACAAAAAATCCTGTCGCGATTTAAGATGGGGTGGTTTGGGGAAACTCTCGGTTTTTGAAGATGCTGCAATGTCTCCGCATTTTCGAATTTCATATTTATCGCGACATACAACTGTTTATGACCGCTAAATCTACCCTTCCGACGCATCAGCACTTGAATAACATTGCAGACAAAAAATCCGGTCGCGATTTAAGATGGGGTGGTTTGGGGAAACTCTCGGTTTTTGAAGATGCTGCAATGTCTCCGGATTTTCCAATTTCATATCTATCGCGACATACAACTGTTTATGAACGGTAAATCTACCCTTCCCACGCATCACCACTTCAATAACATTGCAGACAAAAAATCCGGTCGCGATTTAAGATGGGGTGGTTTGGGGAAACTCTCGGTTTTTGAAGATGCTGCAATGTCTCCGCATTTTCGAATTTCATATTTATCGCGACATACAACTGTTTATGACCGCTAAATCTACCCTTCCGACGCATCAGCACTTGAATAACATTGCATACAAAAAATCCGGTCGCGATTTAACAAGGAAAGTACTTTTATGGGGGCTCCTACTTTTTGACGGGACATATCTCAAAAAATCAGAAAAAATGTGCTGATCAAGGATATATAAATCCTAGCTGCCCATTTTGGGTTTTTTGGCATGTTTTGGCCGTCGAAAGTTTTGAAATTCGCAAGAGGAAAGAATAAAAGACGATTTGAAAGGCAGGGAAACCGATGAGTGAGTGGCGCAGTTGGTTGCGCAGAAGACTGGGGTTTGTGCGGAGGGGGGTTCGAGTTCCCTTTTGTGATTTTTTTTTTATTTTTTGTATTTTTGCTGTAAAATACAAGTAAGGATGTTCAAAGATAATTTAAGAAGCTTTTCGAAATAAAAAATGTTTTTTCTGGCTGTTCAGTTCATCTCCTACGGAGATTTAAGCCCTTCACCACGACAAGGAGGCCAGTCAAAGGGGGTTTTTTTTTTTTTTTTTTTTTTTTTTTTTTTTTTTGGATTTTTTAATACTTAACCTAACAAATAAATCAACCTAAACCTTAACAATCTATATGGTTTTGAACAACAAAATGTTTAAAGCATAACAGCTTTTCGCAATAACAACAAAATATCATCGACTTACCCTCACAATCCAGGATCTGACAGGGCCGTCCCACCGTATCGGGAAAACACACTTCTCGTGGGTTCAGAAATCGCTCTGGGGACCTTTGTTCAACGTATCCAGGTTTATACCATGCGTAGTTCCACGAATCCTTGAAGCGAATATTCAGGAGTTGATGGTAGACAAGCTCGATCATGGTGAGAGTGTTTTCGTGGTTTCCAAGAAAGAAGTCTGCCTCATGGTCGTTCACATGAAAATGAAATTTTTTTAAAAAATATTTGAAAAATCGATTGAAATACACATCTAGGGGCTGTAATTCATCAGTTGTTTTTTTGGGAATGTTGAAAATTACAACGTTTTGACCGGGATTGCGGCAATCCATTATTGACCTATGGTCTAAAAATGATGTCCACGAGTCAATCAAGACCAGCATGTTTGGACCACCTTTTGCAAAGACCAAATCTTTGAAAAAGTCGCACATTAAATCTTTGTTCATAATGTGTGTTTTATTGGGGACCACATAAACGTGTTTAGTTTTATTTATGAAATTTTGCGGGAACTTACCGTTGGGTTCTTGCATGCAGACATACACTTTATCCGACAGTGTTCCATCGGCAAACAAAATTGGCATTACAGTAAAGTTCTTCTTTACTGAAGCAGTAGACTGACAATATCGGTCAACTATCTTCTCACCTTTCAAGCCAAGGGTTCGGTTAGAGTGCATCTCCTTGTATATTGGGGTCTGGTCGCAATTTAGCACACAATCGAATGGAAATTTTTGCATTTCGGCCTTGACTTCATTCACAAACTTTTTTTTTTCCTCGGCCGTGAGGGCATTTTTGCGTTTTTTGGAGGCGACCCATCGGGTCACTTGTCTTGAACATATTTTTGTTTGTTTTTTAAAGTTTTGAATAAAATTATGACTAGCTTTAAAATTTTTTAATCCCAGATGATTAGCTATTTGAAGTGCTTCACTGCGGATCCAGGAATCGGGTTCGTCTTCTTCCAAGTCTTCATAATCCGGATCACTGTCATAGTTGTCAGTTTCAACTTCGGCCTCTTCATTCTCCTCTTCTAACGTCATCCCATTCTTACATTGTTCAATACAAAACACAAACCGATCCGCCACCTTCTGTTCTTCTCTGGTAGCGGCTTTAGCGTCCCCAACACCATATTTGTCCAACAATATGGACACAACATTTTGCGGCGAAAATTCGGACATTTTATGACTGCACGTCACAGGGAAATGAGTGTTTCTTGACACCCTTCCGTGATTTTTTGGCTTCGTTTATGTTTTTAAGTCGCGTTTTTGACTTCTAATTAATAGCCAACGGGAAATGAAAAGCCTCTGTCATTGTTTTTTAACTTTATTTTGTATTTTACAGCAAAAATACAAAAAATAAAAAAAAAATCACAAAAGGGAACTCGAACCCCCCTCCGCACAAACCCCAGTCTTCTGCGCAACCAACTGCGCCACTCACTCATCGGCTTCCCTGCCTTTCAAATCGTCTTTTATTCTTTCCTCTTGCGAATTTCAAAACTTTCGACGGCCAAAACATGCCAAAAAACCCAAAATGGGCAGCTAGGATTTATATATCCTTGATCAGCACATTTTTTCTGATTTTTTGAGGTATGTCCCGTCAAAAAGTAGGAGCCCCCATAAAAGTACTTTCCTTGTAAGATGGGGTGGTTTGGGGAAACTGTCGGTTTTTGAAGATGCTGCAATGTCTCCGGATTTTCGAATTTCATATTTATCTCGATATACAACTGTTTATGAACGGTAAATCTACCCTTCCGACGCATCAGCACTTGAATAACATTGCAGACAACAAATCCGGTCGCGATTTAAGATGGGGTTGTTTGGGGAAACTCTCGGTTTTTGAAGATGCTGCAATGTCTCCGCATTTTCGAATTTCATATCTATCGCGACATACAACTGTTTATGAACGGTAAATCTACCCTTCCGACGCATCAGCAGTTGAATAACATTGCATACAAAAAATCCGGTCGCGATTTAAGATGGGGTGGTTTGGGGAAACTCTCGGTTTTTGAAGATGCTGCAATGTCTCCGGATTTTCGAATTTCATATCTATCGCGACATACAACTGTTTCTGAACGGTAAATCTACCCTTCCGACGCATCAGCACTTGAATAACACTGCAGACAAAAAATCCGGTCGCGATTTAAGATGGGGTGGTTTGGGGAAACTCTCGGTTTTTTGAAGATGCTGCAATGCCTCCTGATTTTTGAATTTCGCATTTATGTCGACATACAACTGTTTATGAACGGTAAATCTACCCTTCCGAGGCTTAGGCTTAGGCTTAGGCTTAGGCTTAGGCTTAGGCTTAGGCTTAGGCTTAGGCTTAGGCTTAGGCTTAGGCTTAGGCTTAGGCTTATA